ACTTTCATTTTTTTTTCAAAACCATACCTAAAGTTTATTTTTTGTTTCGTTTCATTACCCACCGTTAAAAACGGGTTACTAAAATGAAACAAAAACTAAATTTTTTTAATGGTGAGTAATAAAATGAAAAAAAAAACTTTAGGTGTGATTTTGAAAAAATTGAAAGCTTCAGTATTAAAACGGATCAAATTAATAGTTTAATACTAAACGCGTAATTTACCCAAAATAAAAATAGCTCAATGTACCAACAAATACAGATCTTGTAGCAGATGGCTTATGAAGGCCAACAGTCCAAGGTTGGCCCAAAGTTTATTTATTTTTATCAAAATCAATCCTTAGTGTTTTGCTCCATATCATTTTAAGGTCATTTTTTTTTCAATAGTCATTAAAAAAATCCATCACCCAATTATTACTTAGCATGTGGCATATAATTAAATTATATTTATTTGAAAAAAAATTAATTTCTCAAAAGAAAACATCTAAAATCTCCATTTTCTATAAATAAATAAACTCTTAAGGTATCATTTGTCGTCTTTGAACGCCACCGTATCATAGCAATAATGAAGTTCCTTCCTCTTATAGCAAAAGTCGTAAGGATCGGTTTACGACACCTCCTGTTTGTTCTTCACACTTATTGCTTGTGGTATTTATCTTCGATAGGGATGGTTAAAATATCTAAATCCGATGGGTCCTAATCCGACTCAATCTTAGGGGCTTTTCTTTTAATTTTGGAGCTCGAAGTAGGACGAAACAATTTATATGGCATAAAATTTCGAGACGGATTGAGATCAGGTTTTAGGTGAAAAATCACCGACCCGACTCAATTAATATATATATAAATATATATATTATATTTAATATTTTAATAATGTTTATTTTTATATTATTAAAATATATTAATTTAACCGTTTAAATATAATAAAAAATTGTAAATATATTATTATAAATTATATTATTTTAATTATTGAAAAAACGAGATAATCGATAATAGAGTACGATAACAGAAGAGATGAAAGACGATGGTTGATCTGACGACGAAAAATGTAGTATGAGAAGTGATTTTAAGATTTTTTTTTAATTTAAGGATTTTTAGAGAATTAAAAAAAATAAAGATTTTTTCTAAATTAAAGAAAATTGAGAATCAAGCCACGTATTATGTATTCATTAGATGACAATTTCATTTTACTAACGTTAATGAAATTAAGATATTTTAAGAATATTAAAATAAGACACGAACTAACTTACTTCAAAGGTTAAAGGAGTTGTTGTTGTTCCTAGAGGTCACGGGTACGAACAACAACGACTACAATAGGAAAATTGGGTGTTCATTATTAAATGGTTGAGAGTATTTAGAACAGATACTACTCTATAATCAACTTAACTTAATAAAAAAAATTAAAATAGGATACTTAAATTTGAGTAATATTGTTTGAATTAATGGCTAAATTAATAGAATTTTTTATGACTTCATGCGTTTTGTTTGCTTTCAACATATCTAAGAGGAATTAATGTGATAGGGTCATGGCATATTTTCAGTAAAAATATGTACCTAAAATATTTTATGTAAAAATAGGTACTTAAACTATTCAATTTTTTTTATCTAATTTCTAAAAAAGTTGACATGTGGCATTAATTGAAGAATATTTAAGTACTTGGATAAAAAAATTGAATAGTTTAGGTATCTATTTTGACCAAAAAGATAACTTTCAGTATTTCTTTTGACAAAAATAATAATTTATATACTACAATGGAAAAGATGGTTACTTTAGGTACTTATTTGTTATATAAGCCTATTTTTTTCAATATCAATTAAAAAAGGGTAAATTAAGCGTTTAGTACCTATACTATCAGTTTTGGTCCATTTTGATACCTAAGCTTTTAATTTTTTCAAAACCATACCTAAAGTTTTGTTTTTGTTTCATTTTAGTACCCTTATTCAAAATTTAATCATTTCAAAAAAAAGTTGAAAGTTTATGTACTAAAACGGATCAAAACTGATAGTTTAGGTATTAAACGCGTTAAATTTTTAACGGTGGGGTACTAACACGAAACAAGAACTAAACCTTAGGTTTGGTACTAAAATAGACAAAAACTGATAATTTAGATATTAAATGTGTAATTTACCCAAAATAAAGACAGGCTATCAAGATATAATGTGTACCTATTTATATATATATTAATTGAGTCGGGTCGTTGATTTTTACATAAAATATTTTCTAAGTATATTAATGTTCATAAGTCTAACCAAGATAAAAAAAATTGAATAGTTTAAGTACATACATACATACACACATACATACACACATACATACATACATACATACATACATACATACATACATACATACATACATACATACATACATACATACATACATACATACATACATACATACATACATACATACATACATACATACATACATACATACATACATACATACATACATACATACATACATACATACATACATACATACATACATACATACATACATACATACATACATACATACATACATACATACATACATACATACATACATACATACATACATACATACATACATACATACATACATACATACATACATACATACATACATACATACATACATACATACATACATACATACATACATACATACATACATACATACATACATACATACATACATACATACATACATACATACATACATACATACATACATACATACATACATACATACATACATACATACATACATACATACATACATACATACATACATACATACATACATACATACATACATACATACATACATACACACACACACATACACACACACATACACACATACACACATACACACATACACACATACACACATACACACATACACACACACACACACACACACACATACATACATACATACATACATAAATACATACATACATTTATTAAATATCGTAGATGGTTAATTCTCAACATATTGATACAACCACCTCTACTTAGAAAATAAAAGAGAAAGAAAGAACAACTCTTCTATTATTGTTCGAATTTATGAAAGATAAAACCTTTGAACTGTTTTTGTTTTTGAGAATTGTATGAATATCCGAGTTTGTTTAATTTACTTACAGGACAGATGACATTAATGAAACAACCACTGCTGTCACACTCTTTGTCTGTCTTAGTTGGAGGCAAAGCAACGTGGAACCCTAGTTTCTCACTTCCTTTTTGTTCTGTGTCCTTGTATGTATTAATTCTTGTTTTCTTCCCTATCTGCAGTTGCAGAGGGTAATTTCTTGACTTTCCATGCACTTGCTTTTTACCCCCTCCCTTCCCCCACTTGCTTTATATATATATATATTTACTTTTCAAAAGTTACCCTAGTTGATCTTTTTCCTCAGGGTCTTAGGTTAAGGAGGGAGTAGTTTGGTGTTGTTTAGATAAGGTTCGGGGTTCGAATTAAGTTTCGTCTCTCATAATTTTCTCGTTTCATACCTAACTATCCAGCGTTTTACTGTGAGTATGGTAACTAGTACATTAGAGATGTGTCATTCTCGATCCTTTCGTATTATGGAAGGATTCTCTCAATGATCTAACACTCACACTGTATATGGATTGAACTGTATCATGACATCGAGGTTGTGAACCTAACTTGCTTAACGATTTAATGGGAGGATAAATTCAGCCCTTGAAACATACTATAGTCTCAAACGACAAAGAGGTGACATCGAGGTGTTAAACCTTCGCGTCGATGTGAGCAGGGCCGTGACTGGGGCGGCGCGAACTGCGCGACCGCACAGGGTCCCCCAAAAAATGGGCCCCAAAAAAGTATCTATATAGTGTTGTTTTACCAATAAATGCCGCAATATAAATGGACCTATTGCGACGCTTTTTCAAAAAACGCCACTATTATTACGGCTTTATTGATAAAACGCCATTATAGATGGATCTATCGCAGCGTTTGTCAAGAAAACGTCACTATTATTGCCCCGAAATCGAATATATCTAGAAAATAGAAGCCCTTTTATACGAATTTGTACAGGCCCTCCGAAAACCCTGCCACGGCCCGGGATGTGAATTATTAGAGAAGATCAGTTTGTTATCTCTAGAGTAACTTTTCTTTTTCATAGGGTTGCATCCCTTCCACTCGACACCAATCACCATCGGATTATTAAGGCCAATTTTCGTCTCTTCTTGTTGGGTGAGTATTGCAGTCAAATTCTCTTTTGCCTTTGAGTTCGAGCATCAATGTCTCTTCGGCTCGAGGAAACCTTTGACACCTTTGTTGAGTTTTTTTAGGGTTTTACGGGTTTTGGAATTAGACAAATTAAACTACTACCCTTATTTTTTTATTTAAATACTTTTTAAACATGACAATTTTAAAGAATTTCCCTCCATACTGACAGGGAAAGAAGATAGGATTCCAATATGATTGGACTATGAATATGTACATCAAACCTTCTCGGGTTAAATGAAAAGAATTTGATGTGTTTAAGTAAAATTTCGAGTTCAAATCTCGTGGATACCTGACAGAAAAAGTTCATTTTATTTAAGCAACAATCAGGGGCATGGCTGAGGGGGCGCAGAGTGAACGACGGCGTAGGGCCTCAAAAAACATGGGTCCCGAAATAAAATATATCTATCAGTTGTTGTCATTAAGAAGTAGAAAAATAGGTATAGAGTAGTGGTTAGATCATTGGACTCATGACTTTGTTGATCCTAAGTTTGAATCTTGTTAATAAGCAAAATTATTTTTTGGAAAAACAATGCAAGTGTGCCTACTCAGTAATAAGTTCGAGATCTAAGGGCCCTTCAAAACCTAATGTAATTATTGGTTAGGGGGAGGTGTCAAAACCAAAATATGAATGCATGCAACCCATCTGTATAAACATGTCATTCCAGTTGCCCAAGTACAAAGCAAAAGCAATAGGTAAATTTGTATATATCTGTTTTTCCATTTTCTTCTCTCTTTTTTCCCATTTAGTCCAAATCTTTTGAAACCATGACAGATCCATGCTTCAACTTCATCCCCCTAAATCAACCAAACTCTTCTTGTCAACCTCAAATTACCCAAAAACAAGCTCTCCCTCTCATCAATTATCTATCAGCATCCAATGAATCGTCGAGCGGCTGTGCTTCCATAGAAGAGTGCTCGTTTTCCACCGCCGCCGGTGACGAAGCCGACGCGGACGACAATTACGGTGTAACCGTAGACCTGCACATAGGGTTACCTAACCCTGGTTCCGATCTGAGGTCTAGGGCAACCCCATCTGCAGATTTGACAGCAGGCACTAGTGGTGCTGGAGTTCAAGGGAACCCTACAAGCAAGGGACAGTACTGGATCCCTACGCCTTCCCAGATTCTCATTGGACCTACGCAGTTCTCATGTCCCCTTTGCAGCAAAACGTTTAATAGGTACAACAACTTGCAGGTAAACACGCTTAAATCTATAACCTAATTGCAAGAGAGCAGCATCTACCAGCAGCCTCTTTGGGTTTTTCTCAAATATCATTCTGCATACATGTATATATATATATATATATATATATATATATATATATATATTAATGTAGTTGAAGATGCTCCTTTGAACAGTGTGCATAAGTGATGATATGGATTGCAGATCGGATTTCTGGGTTTCAGACTGATATCAATTGGGGTCTTTTGAATGCTCCAGTTCTTCAGATAACTGTTTGCTACAGTATATATATATATATATATATATATATATATATATCAGATGCTTTCGCAATATATAACCTTCTGACACTTCAGCATTGTAAATTATAGGACTCTTGTTAGTACTTTGTTATTACAAATATCTCATGTTAAACCCCCAAAATGATTGTTGAAAATTAGCATTTTTATCACTGTAATTGTTGTGATTAGGGTTTATAATTAAGGGTTTAAACTCTTGGATACTTCTGCAGATGCATGCATCATCTGCAGACACCCTTCCTGCTTTTGATCCATTTGTTTTTATCGATGTTGATCGTTAGTTAATCAAACATGCGCATAAGCATATAATTAATAGGATGATTAAATTTTCGTGCAAAACTAATGAATTTTATACCGTTTAGGGTTCTTATAGTTCTTCATTTACAATGATGTATTTTAAACACATGCAATGTTCGATTAATATATTGTCGATACATCTTTGGCTTCATCATACATACATACACAGACATACATATAATCTTTGGTTAACAGCATAAAAATACATATATACATGAATGTATGTATTTATGCGTTGTGCAGATGCATATGTGGGGGCATGGATCGCAGTACAGGAAAGGACCCGACTCGCTACGGGGAAGCCAACCGACCGCCATGCTACGGCTGCCGTGCTACTGCTGCGCACGTGGCTGTTCGCACAACATCGACCACCCGAGAGCAAGGCCACTCAAGGACTTCAAGACGCTTCAAACGCACTACAAGAGGAAGCATGGGATCAAGCCCTTCGTGTGCAGGAAGTGTGAGAAAGCTTTTGCTGTGAAAGGGGACTGGAGAACCCACGAGAAGAACTGTGGGAAGATTTGGTATTGTGTTTGCGGGTCCGATTTCAAGCACAAGCGGTCCTTGAAGGACCATATCAAGGCTTTTGGTCCGGCCGGTCACGGCGCGATTGGCATTGATTTGGACGACGACGAGGAGCCCGGATCGGAATTTGAATCGATGTAAGAGCTTAGCCGTTCGTGTCGAAATGAACTAGTTGTTTGTTGTTTCTTCTTTGCTTAGACTACTCATATCCTGAATCAAGTTAAATCTAATTTTGTTTAAGAAGGTAAATTTTCTTATCTGAATTTAAAATTTAATTTCAAAAACATTGATTTTTTTATAAATAAATAGTTGTTTAATTAATTTATTTTTACTCTTAAATTAAAGGAAAATAATTTGATTTAATTTTTACTTGATGAAAAATAAATAAAGTTAAATATTAGTTTCAATAAAAAAATTTGAAATTCTTAAGTTAGCTTAATGGGTTATGTGTATGATCCTTTGTGCAAGGGTCTTAGGTTTTAATCTTTCTTTTTCTAGCTACAAACCTTGTTTAGAAAAATGGCATGGGATATGTTTATTAGGGGAGAAAATAATGTGGATCAAAATAAAAATAAATCATAATGTTAGGTGTGATTTTGAAAAAAAAATAGTTTAATGACCAAAACATAAATAGGAAAATAGGTGGGATGCCAAATATATACTTTATTCTAATTGATATGTATTTCAAAAAGATTAAAAAAATAATGAAATGTTTATCTTTGCTTAACTATAATTAGGGGTGAGCAAAATTCAATTTGATTAAAAAATTATTTTTGGGTTATTCGAGTTAAGTTATTTGAGTCAACTCAAATTAGTTGTTCGAATTTTGAGTTTGAAAAATAAAAAAATCAAATATTAAAACTATTTCGTTCCTATTTTCTAACAAAAAAAGTATTTTTTTTCTTTTAATTTTTTAATAAATCTGGGATAAATATAAAGTAGTATATGTTCACTCTCGATCTTTTGACAATGAACGCTCATACCCTTGGCATACGTGGTGCTCGAAACTGGAACATCAAGAGATAACAACAAGTCCCTTAACACTGAGGTTGCTTGGTGAAGAGACTAAATTGAACATAAGGTAAACTTTGGAGTTCAAATTGAAAAGGCCTAAGGAATTTAAGGATTAGTGGTTTAATTTAATCATTTTTTCTTTGGTTTTCAAATAAAAAGATAAAAGTATAGTTTTCGTTGTCGAACATTATCGAACGTTAAATGAATATGTTCACGAATGTTAAACGAACATGAACGTGAACCGAACATGAGTATAAAATCCTTTAAAAATAAACAAATGAACATAAACACAACTTTATTCTTTCAAACTCGGTTCATTTACATCTCTGATATTGGCCTTCAACGGTTCATTTTAGGACAAAAATATTCCTATTTTTTAGCGTTGATCATTTGGTGACCGATGATTTCTATTCGTAGAAGGACCTTTTTGTCCTAAAATAAAACATTGGAAGTAAAAATATTAAAAAAATATGAACTAAAATGACTATATAATCAAATGTTAGGAACATTCTTGACATTATGCTTTTATTAAGTAACATTACCAGTATTCTTACAATATATGTATATGGTTTATTTGAATAGATAAAAATAAAATTAATCAGTATCATCTCATTATAAATAATTATAACTAAATTTTAGGCTTAAAATAAAAATAAGTACTTAAAATATGTTCTTTTTTAGCTTTAGGTACCTAAACTATTTTTTAGTCAAACTAGGTACTTAAACTATTATATTTAAATATTTTAATCCTAATATTTTTTCAATTAGAAAATTATTTTTTGATCAATTATATATTGAGTTGTCACACAAAATTAGGTACTTGTTTTGATCAAAAAAATATTTTAGGAGCTTAAAGCAAAAAAGATGTATAGTTTAGGGACTTATTTTGACCAAAATATAGTTGAAGTACTAAAGTAGTTACATATAATATTTTTAGGACTTATTTTAACAAAAAAATAGTTTAGATACTTAAAGCAAAAAAATGGTATAGTTTAAGTACTTTTTTAGTTTTAGCCTAGCTTTTAATTGAAACTCGAATAAATATATTCGATTCGACTCATATTTTTTTAAAATTCAATTAAAAAAATTTCAGATAAACTTTGAATGATAAATAGTACTCTTTGACTCAACTAATTCAAAATTTTTCTAAAACTATTATATCTAAACTAGATTTGACTCGATTAAATGCTCATTGTAACTCCAATTATGCCTTGAATCTAAAAAAGGGAATTTAGAAGGGACCATTTCCGTAATTATGTCAAAATCTATGGGCCCTTACTATACGGGGAACCCAAAAGAAAAACCCTAGGCTGCTACGTTAATCAAAATGTTGTGTTTGGGGCTTCAATTTCGCTTCCCCTCCCTCTGTTTTCACCTATCATTCAAACTGTTTGATTTTTTTTTTGCAATTAATGAATTCAACAATTTAAATTAAATTCCTTTGGCTTCTTTCATTCCTCTCAATCCATCGCCATTCGCTGTTTCGTCCATGCCTAAGACTAGGAGGTGAGAATCCTTCAATCAATCAATCCCCGGGTTGCCAATTTCCCGTTTCGATTTCATCGTTTTTTCTAATCGTAATTTGGGTTTTTTGTTTTGGGTATTTGACGATGATTTTGATGATTCTTTCGATTTTTTGTTTTTATGAATTTGACGATGATTATGATGACTGTGGGCATGTTCTGCTCGATAATATTGCTAATGTTTCTAAAATTTTAAATGAAATTGGAGGACTAATGAAGTGTTTAGTTGAATTTTCGGGGGATATATCATCTATTTATTGAAATTGCTGATTTTCTAGAATTTTTTATGATGGGTTTTTTGAAAAATATATTTTTCGTATTGTTTCAGGGTTCTTTGTAAGTTTTTTGCTCATGGAGCATGCTTCAAAGGGGAGAATTGTGAGTTTTCCCATGATTGGAAGGATCCACCAAACAATGTAGGAAGTGCCCCTTTGACCTTTCTGTTTTCCCTGTATCTGCTGTTGGTCCTTTTTTTTGTTACCTTAATTGTTGCTTCTTACTTGGTTATTACAGATTTGCACATACTATCAGAAAGGAATATGTTCATTCGGTAGTCGGTGCAGATATGAACATGTTAAGGCTTCTCAATCGGATTTATCTGCTTCATCTTCGTCTACGAAGCCTCGTCAATTCGGGATATCGGGTTCTGTTCCACAAGGACCTTCCACGAGCACATTTCGTGGTTCTGCTGTACTTTCAGCTACTTCAACAGAGTTTTGCGGTTCCAATGGAGGGTTCCTTCCTCCCACCAAAAATGCATGGAATTTGGAACCTGTGCGTGAAGATATATTGGATGATGGTGATGTTTTAGAGCCTAGGAGTCGTAAACTAGCTGATCGTTCCATCTGCTCGTTTGCTGCAGCTGGTAATTGTCCCCATGGAGAAGCATGTCCTCATATTCATGGAGACTTGTGTCCCACCTGCAGAAAACATTGTTTGCATCCTTTCAGACCTGAAGAAAGGGAGGAGCATGTAAAAATATGTGAGAAAAAGCAAAAGCACCTTGAGGCATTGAAATATAGTCAAGAAATAGAATGCGGTGTGTGCCTGGATCGTGTTTTGTTGAAACCCACAGCAGCTGAACGGAAATTTGGGTTGCTCTCAGAATGTGATCATCCTTTTTGCATATCCTGTATTAGAAATTGGCGTAGCAGTTCCCCGTCGTCAGGAATGGATGTAAGGGCTTGCCCAATCTGTCGTAAGCTATCATATTTTATCATTCCTAGTGTGATTTGGTATAGCACTCCAGAAGAAAAGCAGGGAATTGTTGATAGCTACAAGGCAAAACTGAGGTATACAACATTTCAATGATCTATAATATGTCTTATGTACATGTATAAGTTTTTAAGGATTCGACAAGCATTAATTTTTTGCTTGCAGAGCTTAAGATCTGTAAGTTTGTGAATTTATTATTCTAACTAGCAAGTCCATTTTTATATTGTTTTTATCTTCAGGTCAATAGATTGCAAGCGCTTCAACTTTGGTAATGGGAACTGCCCTTTTGGGACTAGTTGTTTCTACAAGGTAATCATTGTCTATTTATTCAGCTTTTTGAAATGGAGAACTTCCTTTTCTTAGTATTTCCCAGTTTGCACCATTTCATATCCTATTAAGTCTCAATTTTGTGCTTTTCGGTGTTTATGGTTATTCTTCTCTTGTCGTGTCACAATGGTTGCCCAATCTTTGAGCAATTTCTTTGCCAAATCTCTATCAGGATATCAAACAATTTGACTTTTATCTGAAGAGGTTAGTGTAGAAATAAAATTTTGTATTTTATCTCAACATTTGAAAACCACAAGCTTTGATCACAATTTCCTTGAATAAGACCGCTACTAATATTTGGTAAGAGGAACAAGTATGAGAGCAGTGGATTATGGGGCAAAACTAATTGGTAAGGCAAAGATGATTAATCATGGCTGAGATTTGGACTAAGTGGATGCAAGGAAAGATTTTAATTTGCCAAATATGATTTTTGTATGAGTAATCATCAGAGAGAAGGATAATGATGATAAATTAAGAACTTTGTTAGAAATAAGCCAATAGGAAAAACAGAATATCTATGGTGCCTTTATACCAAAATTTTCTCCTTCTGTTATTCTATTATGGTGCTGCTTTTGAAAGCATTCTTGCTGCTATAATTAAGGGGGAAATTGTGTCAAATTGCAAGTGTCATCTCACCAAGTCGAAGTGATTATTAATACATCATCTATTTAATGTTGCTGTTCGGTTCAATTATACTTTTCTAGCCCAGAGGTTGTTTTTTAGCTTCCATTTTTGTGATATATATCATGTGTTTTGTTCATTTCTATGCAATTTACTTTAGTTATAGAGAGTGTTAGTTTTACGATTCTTTTAATGGATGCACTTGGGTTGTCTTCCAGCATCATGTCAAGCCAGGATCTTATGCATGGAAATACCACAGGCCACCTCCTCGCCGATCCAATGTTATAGATATGGACATAATTTTCGATGTTTTTGAGCACTTAATTGAGGAAGATGACCTGAATATCTTTGACGATGAAGACTTGGAAAACGATGCTATGTCTATGGAGATGGCCTTGTTTCTAATGCAGCATCTAGATTATGAATCAAGTGACTCCTCAATCGATGAGGAGGATTTTCACTATTAAGTTGCTATATTTAGTTGTGCTCCATTTTGTTGGAAATATTGAAATGTGGTTAAAACATCGTTTATTAGTATTGAAATCTGGATTAAGTTATACTAGACTTTGAAATACTTTTCTTCACAGTTTACATTAGTTTGAGGCTCAATGTGGTGGGTATTAAGGGTGCGTTTGGTTCATGGAATGTAGCATTATCTCCGGGAATGAGATTACCGGAATATAATATTACCTAATACATTACTGGGAATATTGTATTGTTGTGTTTGGTTTGTTTAGTATGAATGTAAGATTACAATGTTTGGTTAAAAGAATTAAAGATTATTAGAATGTATATTTTATTAAATTATCCTTGTTATATATTTGTTTTTTAAACAAGTTGAATTCTAAATATTCAAAAGAAAATATTTGTATAAAAGATCATAGAAAATATATAATTTTATTATTTTTAGTTTATATATTTTCTTTAAAAAATTTAAATTCATAAAATTTATATAATTTTTTTACAAAATTTAAAAGATAAATTAGTTTAATGAAAGGATTTAATTTTATTTCAACCCTTGAACTTCATATAAAATTCTAATTGTGGATTTTTTTTGTAAATGTAAAATAGTTTAAGGATAAATTTGTAATTTACTATTCGTAAAAAAAATTTATTCAATGGTAAGGAGAAGGATATTTTTGAGAAAAAAATTGTTTTAAGGGCATTTTAGTCCAAAGTCATGAGAAAATATTAATATCCAAGTGATTGAGGGGATGACATTCTCAGTAATAAGCCCTCAAAATGTCACTGTTGAGAATGACTTATTACTACTTATTGGGAATCTTTGCAATCCAAACATGGGTATCACATTCTGGAAAAAAAAACTTCCCCCGCCCCCGCCAATCTTCTTTTCCCCATCCAAACGCACCCTAAGTTGTAAAGGTTTTGCCTTGCAATCCTGGAATGCGTATGTTGAAAAAACAAATGTTTTTCCCTATGTTGGCCAATATTTTGTGGATAAAGAAATGTTCGTTGGACCGAATTGTTCACATTAGATTGTGTTTTCAGGCTGTCAGACTTTCTCAGTGACTTGCACATTAGATGAATGTTCACAATATCTTCTAAAACGTGAGTTCTTTGACTCTGCTTTTTCTTCTCTACTACTTTCAAGTTCTGATGTCTACTACGTTCATGTCACGGAGCTTGTTCTCTGGTTTGGTCCCTCTCCCCCGTTCGAGTAGTATGAAATCATTTATGGAGACCCTGAAACTTTGAACGTTGTAATGCTTTGTACAACACATCGGATAGCCATTTGCGAAAACTACAATTTCGATCGAATAAATACCCGTCTTTGTTTCCGGGAAGTCGATCAATTCCCGTACTTCTTTCAATGCATGCAGGATATCTAAATAATGCAAGGGCCTATCGCCTCACAGCTTTGATGGAAAACATTTCTTCGGTTCCTAGTGTTGCACACTCCATTTCACAAGGTAAAAGTATTGAACAAATTCCATTCATTGGTGTTACAGACTGTACGGCTTGAAAAAACACGTAAATTTGAAACCGGAATTGCAGGGTTGAAGGTTGGAATCATGGGGGTGGTTATATGCAATAAACTGCATCTAAATGTTAATGAAGTAAAAACTATTTTGGGGGTGACAATGCTAACTGATTGATGGATAAAATGCTTGTTGAATGAAGGCTTTGGAATATTAGTAGTAGCCAATGACGATTAGTTTCGAATATTCGTTCGAATAATCGAATATGCGGGGGTGGCTGTGATTATTGCTCCATGCTTCCCCTTTGATCAGTGTAGCACTCTGAAATTGTACATATATATAGGGTTATGCAATGCTGTGATATGGTCTCGGGTTGTGGTAGATTTAGAGAGTTTCATAATATAGGCAGTGGGATCTTAATCTGTTAGTTTCGGCGATGCCCGTATTGTCGACTATAATGATGTCCGATGAAAGAAAGCCGGCTCCGTCGGCTGATGCAGTGTTTATATAGTTGTCATCTTGACATATTCGTATGGAATCCAGACAAGTTCGGTAATCTTTTGTTGCATTCAAGCAAAATCATCAGATATATATAAAGATCACTTTCCCTTGCTTCCCCCGACTAGACATATTACCCTCCCCCTCCCACAGTATGAAGCCAATGCCTGTGATTGCAAAATTTCTTAAAACACCATTTTCACGCTTCTATTACATACATCTCTCTATTCTAAGACATGTCTCAAGGTGTTGAAGATTCATCGCCTTCGGATTTTTACCCCATTTTTCGATCCATTTATGTACTTGATGCAGTCGGTCCGTTAGAAAAAATGTTCCGGAAAAAAAAAACAAATGCCAAAAAGAGAAATCAATGCAACCATGGGGCGGAATGTGAGAAAATGAGAGAGACTGAACTAGGAGGTAGTGGCATTCCCTTACGGCTTGGGCTCTGTTCGGATGTAGGTGAGACTTCGGGCAGTGGGAAAAGTGAATTTACTTGCAGCAGCATCGGATGGAGTGGCCTGAGCACCACGCTTCCACTGAAAGCTTCTTGCACCAGGTTTTATGGGGAGGTGAGGCCTAAATGCACCTGGGATACCTCGGGCAAAAGGAGCACTAGCAAACCTCGCAGTAGCAAATGGAGAACCCCGAGCCACGCGGGGCCATGTCATGACAGGAGCGGCTTCTTGAGGAGCAAAAGTTTTCTTCACAACCTTCAGCAAGAAGGAAATCAAACAAGTTGTGACTTAGTCGTCATATATTTTGGAGCAACAAATCAACATGAATGCAAAGAAATTGGCAGTGGAACACATTCAACGGAAGTGAATCATACAGTAAACAGTATAGCATGGCCATTGGAATATAGACCAACTTACTTTATAATGTTTACAAGCTGTTCAGTAACATGTCATACAAACAAAATTGTCGAAAGTCGCAACCATTGACTGCCAAAATATGAACTATATCAGCAGTGTTTTTGCCGAAAATGTTTCGGCTATCAAGCAGCCTTATGACACTAGGCTAAGCCACGATAGAGTTTCCAATAGAGTAAAAATTTTAACACGCTTAACTCTCGACTTATGATGGAGAAATATCAATATGCATGGGAAGTTCAACAGAAAACACACAAAAAAGGTTGAATAAAACAACAGAGAACAAGGATTAAATACCTTAAGAATCCGTGACATGAATGAGATACCATCAAGAGACAAAGCATTGTCTGCTGCTTCCTTTCGCATAAACTCCACATAAGCTGACCTGTGTAGCATTGCACCTTAGGAAAAAAAGAGGATGTTTTACAGACATATTCAGAACGAGTATTTAAAGCAACTTACCCTTTTGGTTGCCCCGTCGCTGCATCCATAAAAATAACAACTTTTAGCACTTCTCCGAACTTGTTAAAATGTCGGGAAAGACTATCCTTGGTAGCAGCAAAATGGACCTGCTTATGTTACAGAATCATATATTGTCAAAACAGTGTAAGGGAGCAATCCTCTTTGTAAACTAGACAGATAAGTTTGGTTTCTTACATTGCTAACAAAGATGGTTCGAGAATCAGCATCCTCTAAAGGACGACCGGCAGAATGTAAAACTGCAAAAAGAAAATGGCAAAAAATTAAAAAAAAAGTTAAGAATGCAAGGAAAAATCCAACAGAATTTTAAAAAAACGGATTTAATGAAAAAAGGTCATAATACACAAGGGACTTTCATGTCTGAACACGCAACAGCTAAAAAACCAATTCTAACAATAGAAGACAACTCACCAGAAGATGACTGCACTGCTTTCTGAGACATATCTTGATTATAAGCAGCACTTTTATCCTATAATTTACACACAAAAAATAAAGTAAATTTACACTGCCCAAATGCAAAGAATAAGGGAGAGAATAAATATAGGAAGAAGATCCTACATTTCCATTACCGACTGTAACTGGGTTGTCATTCTCCAATCTAACATTAGATTTGTTAGCAGCCACTTCCCTCTCCAGAAGAGATTTTTGACTCTCCAATTCTGAAACCTCCCTTGGCTCTTGATAATGAGGTGGTTTCCACGTGTTTACATTGACAGAAATGTTAACTATCTTACGAGAATTTGCTGCTATTGTAGATTGATTTTGAACTGTGTTCCTTGTTTGCAAGATTTCATTATCCTTAGCTACATTGTACTGCACCATAAGTGAGTTATCACCCTTGTTTCCAGTTGATGTACCAGTACGAGACACGTCCATGCCTCCAAGGCCAACAACATCAACATCATCGTACCATTCATTGTCAGACAGAGAATCTGAAGCCAACCCAGTCTCACTGTCTAACGCAGTTATGTTACCGAGATGTCGACCACCATACTGATCTCTTTGATAATATGACGAATCGGTTGTCTCCAAAGGTTGGTCAAGATCTCCATATTCTTCATCCTGGGGAAGAGACTCTCTGAATCCTGGAAGTAGGTCATGGCTGTCCAAAACATCCATTCCAGGACCAAGCCTGTCAAACATACTTCCAGCATTTTTTATCTTTGTCACATCTTTAGCAGCTTCTGCAACAGCCTTGATCACTGTCGCCATTGGATTTGGCACTCTTGCAACAGACTGAATTCTCCGAGGACGAACAGGCAAATCTCCAGAAGTTGTTGAGACAACAGATCTAAGGCGCTTGGATGATGGTTCCTTTGATGAAACAGGTGTCCTCGAAGTTCCAACTGCATCTCGCACAGCAAACTGAAGCAGCCGCCTAGGGGCATCAATGTTCATCTGAGAAACTGCTTTCCTCTACAAAAGGAGTTCATCCATGGATCAGATGACCATAGCCAAAGGAACGAAAAAGACATTGGCATTTGACACAACATCAAACCGCTATACAATTTACATAAAATTATTTCTTGAAGAAACAAATCCTTCTGAATTATTGTTAGAGCAAAAAATATAAGTAATTAATGATTAATATGTGACCTTAGGAAAATTAAGAAATTTACCCCTATACATCAGCTCTAAATCATTTCCATAAGGATATAATTTTTTCAATTAAAGGAGAACAATATGCTCTTAATTCTAGTCAGTGGTCATCAACTAGTCAATAATATGTATCCTATATATTCAAACCTTTATAGGCTGTCGCTCATCAGGTCTACTCCTTTTCTTCTGAGAATGGCGAGGAGAGGTAGATTTTCCACGGTTTACTTTACGACCAGATTTTTCTTCAAAACGAATACTCTCAACCTCAGAGCTCCTAAGAGGAGGTGGTTCAGCTGCATCCCTAACTAGTCCCTTCCACTCCCTGTTGTGCCGGTTCCTGGAAACCTTAGTAGTCTGTCCTCTTTCAGAATCAGTGTCCAACTGGTGAGGGTCGGCACCAATAGACTGGTTCCCCAATGCAGTTGTTCTGGCTCCTTGAACATGAAGTTCTTGAGAAGGAATATATAGATCCAAATTTGAAGCCAAATGATCCCACAACCTAGTCAAAAGCAAAATATGAATATTATATCCATACACACTAATATAAGAAAAATTAGAAGTACCAGAGGTGAGGATAACTTGGGGCTCAATCCTGTCAGCTATGTTTATATAAGCACTGATTTTCCAAAATGGAGAAAGTTGGAAAAATAATCTAAATACCAGGTGACAAAAGAATCGCTGTCATCTCCAAGAAAAACATTCAACTCATTCATTGCTTCATCTTTACGTCTGCCATTTCTCAATAATACAATCACATATTCCTGACAATCAAATCAATGAGAGAATACCATAAGTTGTCACCTGGAATAGCTAATCTTTCACAATTTCTAACAGATTTGGTAATTTGCGTACTCCAACTCTTTCAGAGATTGGATATAATCAGAGAACCACATCAAAACTGAAAGGTCAAGAATGCTAACCAACTACAACAAAGGCGAGATACATTGTTATAGGAAAGATTAAAACCATATATCATTCAAACAATCTTAAAACTGAAAAAAAAAATATTCAAGGGCTTATGAAAATCCATGTAATCATTAAATCTCAAGCAAAACATTACGGACGATGGTGCCTTTTAATTCCTCACTTTCTTCCCAATCCTTTCTTTTTAACCAGTGCCACAAACTCTTGATAAGAACACAGAACATTAAAATAAAAGGAACGAACCTGAGTATTTTAAAGAGTTCAAATTCTACAAATGCCACTCAAAAACATGCTATCATTATGAAATTGAATAGAAAAACAAACGCCAAAGGTTCAACTTCAAAAGGCCGAAATTCGATAAGCCAAATCTCACAGCAAACCAAAATGCAGAAACAACGTTATGATCAATGCAACCGTTCAGAAAGAAAAAAAAATCCAATCATCACACATTTAAATAAACAAAAGGAGAAACATGTGAAACACATAAATCGAATATTAAATCGCAAAGTGCGAAAAGAAGTACCACAAGTGTATCATCAGTGTAGTCGCCCATAAACTCCTTGAGTTTTTTATTGACTCTATCTTTCAACTTGGCCGCTCCATCTCCGCTAAAATTAACTTTAAATGTCAAATCATCAACTCGATCCACGCTGCCCATCTTCCGTCGATTTCCTCTTCCAAACCCTAATCTAACCTCTACCGATAAAAACAAGAGGGGGAAAAATAAAAACAAACGGATAATCCTGCTATTCCAGAAACCCTAACACCAGGGGTTTGCAAGCGACGTGAAAAGGAGGGAGCGGCGGATGAATTGGAGGGACACGGCGGAGCTTGAGCTGATCGTAGTGCCTGCGAGAGAGAGAGAGAGGGTCGGGTTTCATAGCATATGGGAATCCCTCGATCGTAAGAGAAGGAATTTGGGATCGGATTATAGGGGAGATGAAGCAAACGATGATTATCTGCGTCTAGGTTCATATATATGTATCGACTGTGAATGGGACTTTATTTGGTCAAATTATGTATACAGCCACTGTAATGTCTAGTTGTAATGAATTTAATCCTTCTACTATAATTTTAGAGTAAAATACGTATTTAGTACCTAAACTATCAGTTTCAGTCTGTTTTAGTACCTAAATTTTCAAATTTTCAAACATACATAAAGTTTAGTTTTTATTTCATTTTAGTACCCGTTGTAAAAAACTTTAGTTTTTGTTTCATTTTAGTACACTTCAAAATTTAACATTAAGTTTTTAAAAAAAATGAAAGTTTAGGTACTACAACGGACTAAAACTGATAATTTACGTATTAAATGTGTTAAGTTTTTAACAGTTGGTACTAAAATTAAATGAAACTAAATTAGGTATGATTTTGAAAAAATTGAAAGTTTAGGTATCAAAATAGGCCAAAATTAATAGTTTATATACTAAATGTGTAGTTTACCCATAATTTTATTATTTTTAATTTACTACCTTCTCGGAAAAGGTATATTAGGGTTCGTTTGGTTGGGGGAAAACATTTTTCGGAAAATGAAATCTAGAAAATGAATTACATTTTCTGGAAAACATTTTCCAGTGTTTGGATGGTATATTGTAAAATGTTTTACACTGTTTGGTTAATTTTTCTGAAAACAGTTTTCAAAATCTGTTTTTAATAAAGAAGTAAACATATTCGATATGTTTTTATTCTTTATTATTTTTAAAGGTTCATTTTTTATATATATAATTATATTTTATAAAAATTTATATTTTTATAAGAACGCCAAACTAAATTTTTAGATAATATTAATAATTTATGTTGATTGTATTATAAATACACTATTTTAGGTTTAAAATCTTCATGGTGCTTATTCATTCGTATTTTTAGAAATGAATTTCAACATATAATTAATATTTTGTAAGTTTATTTGATATAATATTAATAATTGATTAAAAATATATTATAAAAGTTTATAAATATTATGTAGGTTTAATTAATAGTACACCACATTAAAACAACAATGATACATAACTTCTCAAATATTATAAGAATTAGTTCAGAATATAACAAAATTTCTCAAAAACAACAAATAAATGTCTTAAAAGAACAGAAAATGTACTGAACATTTCATTAACCAAAACATCACATTCAAGATCCAACGTCACAACACATGATCTATATTTTGCAAGAGTCTCCAAAATTACAACTCTCCTTCCAAATGCTCAATCCATTGAAAGTTCCAACAATCAAGCTAAGAATATCCTGAAAGCATGCCACAAATCAATCACCAGACAGTTGAAAATTTATTATTTTCTAAGAAAACTAAGACCAAAAACAATAAATCTTCATGAAAGAAAAAGCACCTTTAGAATATCATCACTATAAGGCGCTTCAGGCGCAATTATCCGAGTTATCTCACAAATACAGGTTGCAACTAGGAGTTTGGCTTCCCGATCTTGATGATTCAGCAATTCTGGCTTGACAATTGCATTAAGAAGAGGCTGCATTGATTCCATTATTGATGATGGTGGAGACTGGTCAATCTCAGAGAGACATGTAGCAGCTTGTTGCGGATTAGACGGAAAACATTCAATGATATATGCCAAATAACCAAATTAAAAGGCTGCAGCTGATTTTGATACACAATATATATATGAATTCACAAGTTCAATCATCCAACAAGATGTATAAGATTCATGAAGTAATACATATTACCACAAACCCGACTGTCCAAGCACATAGGTCTGATGCTAGATGTGTGTAAGTAAAATGATAAAGAACATGTGAAATAGACAAGAATAAAAGAAAATATAGGAAAAAATCTTTACTACCATTAAGAATTATCAACCAATGCACAATCAGTGATTCAAACAAACTTAAAAGATAAAAATATCTAAGCTTTTCACTAAACCACCAATAAATTTGAGTCCATAAAATAAAAGAACTATCATCTTTCATGAATAACAAGATATCTCTTCATGTCATAACAAGTTCACCATTAGAGATTCCAAGCACCATGTGAGACCAAAATAAAACCAATCCATATTCGAAAAAATCTCTTTGGTCTATGTTTGGATAAGACAATAATTCTTTAAATACCTAGTTGCTATTGATCAAGTAAATTTCAGTTTTACAAAATCCAACATAAATTGAATTCCACGGTTGGAAACATAAAATTCAAAATTCAGATTTCAAAACAGAACATGCATACATTATGTGTAAATTGCAGAGATCCAACATGATTGCCATAAATTTCAATTTTACAAATATCAATCCTATTTCTGAAATCCAAATCCACTGTTTGAAATTCAAGCTCCCAAAACCTAAAGAAATCGGGAAATTCTTACATCGTTTAAGAGTAACCCAAACAGAGCCGGTCTCAGTGCTTCGCTCAAACATGCTCGTAAGTTCATTAAGAAAAGGGTCTGGTTGTAGAAGAACCTTAACGAAAAACAAAAAAATCAGCATAAATCATATCAATAAGATCAAATGCCCAAGAAATAAAAACGAACATAAATAACGAAATTACAACAAATCAAAACCACCAAACATATATACTAAGAGGGAAAAAAGCTAAACAGAATTCAAAAGCGAATAATAACCTTTATGATTAAGCAAAAGCCTAAAAAATGTTCTTCAATTTGTTGAATTCAGAGATAGAGAGAGACAAAAGCCCATAACATTAAATAAACGAAAAAGGATTAGAAGGGATGTTGAATTACCATGATTAGGAGAAACTTTGTGAATTATGGGAACAACCCTAATTCAACCAATTAGGAACGAACTTTAGCTAAGCAATCTAAAGTTCAGTGGAGAAGTAATAAAAAGTTGAAGAATGCGTGCCTTTAACAGCTTGAGAATGGCGTCTTTCGCGGATGGAGGAGATTCCAACTTGGATCCCAGCTCCTTGAGCTGCTCTTCCAGCTTCTCCGTCAATGAGTCGTGGACTCGATAAGATGAGAGATAGAAAACAAAGAGGGAAAAAGGGGAAGAAGGCCACTGGATCGATCGAAATTCGGTGTGGAGCGAAGGAAAGAAAATGACTTACCCTTAGATCAATCAACCAGTTTAAATTTTATTCGGGAGAAAAATTTAGGGTAAACTACGTACTTAGTATCTAAACTAATAGTTTTAGTATGTTTTAGTATCTAAACTCTTATTTTTTTTCAAAACCATACTTAATGTTTAGTGTTAGTTTCATTTTAGTACTCGTTGTTAAAAACTTAACGCGTTTAATATCTAAATTATCAATTTTGATCCGTTTTAATACCTAAACTTCCAATTTTTTTCAAAACTAGCATTAAATTTTTAATAGGATACTAAAATAAAACAAAAACTAAATTTTAGGTATGATTTTAAAAAAATTAAAAGTTTAGATACTAAAATAGATTAAAGCTAATAGTTTATATATTAAATACGTAATTTACCCAAAATTAATATGGTTCGATGAATTTCAGTTACTATCGATTTATTATTATGTGTACTTGTTAGTACAAGATTTTGATATTTTGAATTATTTTTATATAGTTATATTCATTCAATATAATAACAAGTAAAATACGTATTTAATAACTCACCTATTCTCACGATTTTGTTTTAATCACCAACTATTTTTTTCCAAAATTATACCTAATGTTATGTTTTACTTCCATTTTGGTCACCTAATGTTAAAAAATTAATAAAACTACTGCGTAGTAATTCTTTTTATTTTTCAATAATGACATGACATTACCTTATGGTGACGCTTCAACATTATCATTCATTTTTAACATTGAGTGACCAAAACGAAATTAAAAAGTAACATTAAGTATGATTTTGGAAAAAATAGTTTGATGATCAAAATGAAATAACAGGAATAAGTGAGTGACTAAATATGTAGTTAACCCTATAATAATTTAATTATTGAGTTTGATTAATAATTTTATATGTTGTATGAATATTTTTATATATAAATATACAAAATTATATTATCATAATTATCTTGGATTGGGCATAGGGCTGTAATGAAATGAGATGAATAGCGAGTTATTCGAGATTGACTCAATCAAGCTCGATCAACACTCGAATGGACTCGATTCAAGCTCATATTCTTAACGAGTAGAAGTGAATTACTTGTACTCGAGTCGAAAAGCTCACGAGCAACTCGAAAAAAAAATATTAAAATTTTAGATTTTTAAATTAAAATTATTAATAATATTAACATTTATAATTTTATATGGTATTTTAGAAAAAATACAATATAAGGATTCATGTACTTAAGGGTTCAAGTTCAAGCTAAACTTCAACTTTTTTATTTCAAGTGGAGTACGAAAATTTTAAGGTCGCGAGCTTTAAATTCGAACAAATGTTAATTTTAAAGTTTTTTATTCAAGTTGAACTCAACAATACTCGATCTCAACTTGACTCATTTACAACCCTAATCGAGCGAGGTGTGTTGAACTTTTCTTAAATCTGAACCAATTCAATATAGTTAAGTTTAAGAAAAATAATTGCATCAAAATTTAAATTTCATAAAAAAATTAAATCATATCAGATCAAAACTTTAAAAAAAATTAATTTTTCGATAAATTATGCGTTTAGTACCTAAACTATCAGTTTTAGTCTATTTTAGTATCTAAACTTTCAATTTTTTAGAATCATACCTAAAGTTTAGTTTTTATTTCATTTTAGTATCTCGTTCAAAATTTAACGTTAAGTTTTGAAAACAATTGAAAGTTTAGATACTAAAAATTAATTATTGAGATATTCTCTCATTTTCCGATCATGTTGAGGCAACAACTGGAGATAAGAGAAAGTAAGGACGGGACTAAGAATTTATTAAAAAGATTAAAGTAATTTTTATTTTTAGGAAAATATTTTTTAATTAAAGGGGTTCTGGTAAAAAATTAATTATTTTTAAAAATATAATTTTTAGTATTAATTAATACTTAAAAATCTTTTTAAAATTAGGCAAATGTGGGTTTTTAAGGGAACAAGGGGCATTAGCACTCACAATCAAAGATCCAAAGATATTTGGATACCAAAATCTAAATAAATGTCTTTTGTAGACGTGTAGGAGCAATTTTGACAAAAATGAAGAAATTTAAATGCTCTAACCACACATGATGAGGAATTGGTAACCTCTAATCTTAAAGTTTTTTGACTTTGCATTATTGGTTGCTTATTTGTTTTATGCATGCGTGAGTTTTGAACTTAAATGATTGTGTGTTGATGCCTATCTCATGTATGCTAAATTATGTTATAGTGAACATTTTAAAGTTGTTAATGATTTTTCATAAACTTTTGTTCATCATAATGATATTTGGTCATATGTATTTTTAATTTTTAATTTTTAATTTTAATTTTTGACCTTAAATTGAATGTTCATACATGCACCTTTTATTGCAAATTATATCTCTCTAACAATTGATATCAATTTTCAAATGCATAACATTTTTAAAAAGTTTTATGCATATGAACTTTAATGCCTCATGTCAATATTACATAAAGTATAATAGACTTGGATTTATTGAATTTCATGTGTTTGTAACATGTGTATTCATCTTTGTTAAAATTCAATAGTCTTTAAGTGTCAAAGTTTTTAAGTTAAATTTTCTTTTGGGAATGCATTTGTTGAGGGGGAGCTTTTAAAAAATTTCAAATGATTTTATGTTAAAAATTTCTACTTACTCTCCATTGTCATTTTTGAACTTAAATGTTTGAATTATTTTTTATATAAAAAAGGGGGAGAAGTATGAGTTTGAAAAAATCAATTTCAAGAATGAAAAGGGGAACTTTAATATTTTCCAAAATATTTCTCTTTTTCATTAAATGTTTTTTTAAGGGGGAGTTTTGCCAAAACTATTTGTCAAATGTTTTGTTATATAAAAAATAGGGAGATTGTTGAACCTATTTTAATATAACAAATTTAAAGGAAAAATGTTTTTACACTTGATTAATTTATTCAAAATTTTCAAAAATAATTCAAAGTCCATAAAATTTGAATTTGAACACAAAACAATTTTTCTGGGTATACTGTAACACCCCAAATTTCGGACTAGTAGTATCGAGTTTACCTAAGAGGTTTGTGGACCTCGTGGAATTTATAATTAAATTCATTGTGTCAAATTGGGCTTAATTGGGTTGGAATTGAGCCCAATTAGCCACAAAAGGGATTTTTTAATTATAAGAAAATAATGAAGGATCAAATGTGAAGTTTCACCATTTTATAAAGATGAAAGGTTTTTAACTCTTTCGTCTCATTTTTCTCTTCATTTCTTTCATATTTTCTGATTTTCATCTTCTTCTTCCTCTCCAAATCCCATAACACAAAAGTAAGTTCTTTAGCCTCTTTTCATGTTTTAAATTAGTCCATAATCCATCCAGCATCGTCGTTTTAGTGATTCAAAGCATTGGGTCCTTTGTAGCTAAGAGAAAAGTGAGGGTGTTCATCTAAATCATAGAAGAAGGGTGTGTGGCTAAGTAATGAGCTCCATTTCAGGATTCAAACATCGTGGTATTATATTTTTAATCCTTTGGAGTGTTAAGGTTTTCATAAGTATAAAGATTTGTTAGGATTTGAGTGTTTAAGCATTTTAGGGTTTATATTTGATTTAATGATCAAATGATATTTTAGATGTTAAGAAGACTTTTTATGCCACTTTATAACCCTAAGTAACTCCCTAAAGTTATAGCACATGATTAAAACCAAACTAAGACATTAGAGACAATTTTTAGGTGTTTTCTGAGCCTAAATAAGATAATTATGGGTTTGAGTATCGATACTGGATGATTTGGGCAAAATTAGAGATTTCCATCTAAGAGTATCGATACTCAGTGTGACAATATTGATATTGGGCTAAATTTCAGCAACAAAATGTATTTTTTGTAGCTATACTTATAGGGGTATCGATACTTGACCCTAGGGTATCGATATTGGGGAAAAAATATATTGGAAGGTTAGATTTGATCTCTTTAAGACCCATAAGAGCAAACGATGATCCATAATGATTGAACTTAGTCCGTGAGGGACGCAAATGGCCAAAGGAGCCTGAATACACTCGAAGGAGTGGGTTACAACCGAAGTAACCATAGTAGGCATAACACGTTCAAGTTTCTTTAGTCAAGTACGTAGCGAGTATCTAAGAATAAAGGACCATTACTAAGGATGTACCGATAAACGATATCATGAATTTAACAGATTTCAGGATAGCGGAGTCGTGAACTGCATGAATGTCAGTGAACGATAGACGTACAATCATCCATCCAATTCGAGGGTGAATTGGAGGAAAGCATAGTAAGAGCGACCAGAGTGTCACTACTCAGAGTTGAACCCGAGTCAAGTATCGGGCTAGTGACTAGTACAACTAGTGAGTAGCAGCCACGGAGATCATTGTAGAATCACGAAATATGTAAAGACTTTCTTACAGACATGGAATGACTAAAATGTCTTTAAGTAACGAACAACCAGAATAGATAAACTTAAAAACTAATAGAAATAAACGACTAATAAATCATTCTGAAATATTCTAGATGAGGAACGAGATATCATCTAGTGAGAATGAGACCTCACTTTAATATGCCCATCTATGTTAGGGTTTACCCATGCTACCTTAGTTGCCCTGGTAGGGCATTGTCAATGCGCGAGGCGCTTCAGTGGTTAACTAGGTGCGAAGCCTGAATACTTACAAAGAGTGGGTTAGCGATGTCAGTGTTGCATGGCCTTGAGGCCCATAGATATGTATGTATAGTGCATCAATCCAGTATAAAAGAGGATGATTGTCTTGTGTGTATGTGTCTTGTTTATTAAAATATCCAGATATATCTAAGTAAGTACGTAAGGCACTTCTATGACTAACTTGGGTTCGAGGCCTAACACTTACGATGGGTGGGTTAGCCGGGTTATTAGTATATTTGGATATGTATACTTCAGAGGCTAACTTGGGTGCGAAGAGTGTGTTAGCTGGGTGTTGTTTCCAATGTTGAATTTTGGATATTACCCTAGGTAGGCTAATGGGGTGTTAGTCCCGAGATGTTATGTGACCCTCCGACTACACCATGATGCC